CATGAATTCTTTGCAAAATCTGACTAAGTTACGAGTATTTCCCTACATTTCTTCGACACATTTGCGTTTTCCATCTACGTCCACTTGTCCTGTTTTTACCCAATTTAAAGAGGTTGTCCGTCTCCACCTTCTCTATCCCTCCTTAGTATCTTATATGTTGTGATCATATCCTCTACCTCTGTACTATAGGGTTGTGAGATTTAGCAGATCTGGTGCAGACAGCACGAAGAGAATCAAAGGTCGACTTTATGACGTGACAGATGTCAAAAGCTGTTGTCTACTAGGGTGGCAAAAAATAGTGCACAGTGCATATAAACCAGACGACCAACCGGGAGACCGGGCCGCGGGGCTGTTAATCCCCGCAATTTACACAAGGTAGACACAAGGTATATACCGTAAGGGGGGTAGAAATAGCCTAAGCTACTCTATCCCTTTGAGATGTATTTTTTCTGGTCTCAATAAACATACTTGAACTTGAAGGTATATACCTTTAGGTAACTGGTGAAATCCTAACATTTTATTGTGAGCGATTCTTTTATGCGTCAAATACTCAACCTGTGAGGGCTTGTACAGTCCATATTCTTCATGAGAAGGGTGGTGGACCCCATACTCATCCTTTGAGGCGTCGTGGATCCCTTACCCACCCTGTGAGGGGGTTATGGATCCAAAACTTATCCTGTAAGTGGTGGTGGATCTCATATTCATCATGTGATGGGGTAAAGTGGACCCCATGTCCATTCTATGAGGGGTATAGTGGACCCCATGTTCATTCTGTGAGAGGGTATAGTGGACCCCATGTCCATTCTGTGAGAGGGTATAGTGGACCCCATGTCCATTCTATGAGGGGGAATAGTGGACCCCATGTCCATTCTATGAGGGGGATAGTGGACCCCATGTCCATTCTATGAAGGGTATAGTGGACCCCATGTCCATTCTGTGAGGGGGGTATAGTGGACCCCATGTTCATTCTATGAGGGGGTATAGTGGACCCCATGTCCATTCTATGAGGGGTATAGTGGACCCCATGTTCATTCTATGAGGGGTATAGTGGACCCCATGTCCATTCTATGAGGGGGTATAGTGGACCCCATGTCCATTCTATGAGGGGGAATAGTGGACCCCATGTCCATTCTATGAGGGGGAATAGTGGACCCCATGTCCATTCTATGAAGGGTATAGTGGACCCCATGTCCATTCTGTGAGGGGGGAATAGTCGACCCCATGTTCATTCTATGAGGGGGAATAGTGGACCCCATGTCCATTCTATGAGGGGTATAGTGGACCCCATGTCCATTCTATGAGGGGTATAGTGGACCCCATGTCCATTCTGTGAGGGGGGAATAGTGGACCCCATGTCCATTCTATGAGGGGGAATAGTGGACCCCATGTCCATTCTATGAGGGAGAATAGTGGACCCCATGTCCATTCTATGAAGGGTATAGTGGACCCCATGTCCATTCTGTGAGGGGGAATAGTCGACCCCATGTTCATTCTATGAGGGGGAATAGTGGACCCCATGTCCATTCTATGAGGGGTATAGTGAACCCCATGTCCATTCTATGATTGGTATAGTGGACCCCATGTCCATTCTGTGAGGGGGTATAGTGGACCCCATGTCCATTCTATGAGGGGGAATAGTGGACCCCATGTCCATTCTATGAGGGGGAATAGTGGACCCCATGTCCATTCTATGAGGGGTATAGTGGACCCCATGTCCATTCTATGATTGGTATAGTGGACCCCATGTCCATTCTGTGAGGGGGTATAGTGGACCCCATGTCCATTCTATGAGGGGGAATAGTGGACCCCATGTCCATTCTATGATTGGTATAGTGGACCCCATGTCCATTCTGTGAGGGGGTATAGTGGACCCCATGTCCATTCTATGAGGGGGAATAGTGGACCCCATGTCCATTCTATGAGGGGTATAGTGGACCCCATGTCCATTCTATGAGGGGTATAGTGGACCCCATGTCCATTCTGTGAGGGGGTATAGTGGACCCCATGTCCATTCTATGAGGGGGAATAGTGGACCCCATGTCCATTCTATGAGGGGGAATAGTGGACCCCATGTCCATTCTATGAGGGGTATAGTGGACCCCGTGTCCATTCTATGAGGGGTATAGTGGACCCCATGTCCATTCTATGAGGGGGAATAGTGGACCCCATGTCCATTCTGTGAGGGGGATACAGTGGACCCCATGTCCATTCTGTGAGGGGGATACAGTGGACCCCATGTCCATTCTGTGAGGGGGTATAGTGGACCCCATGTCCATTCTATGAGGGGGAATAGTGGACCCCATGTCCATTCTATGAGGGGGAATAGTGGACCCCATGTCCATTCTATGAGGGGTATAGTGGACCCCATGTCCATTCTATGATTGGTATAGTGGACCCCATGTCCATTCTGTGAGGGGTATAGTGGACCCCATGTCCATTCTATGAGGGGGGAATAGTGGACCCCATGTCCATTCTATGAGGGGTATAGTGGACCCCATGTCCATTCTATGAGGGGTATAGTGGACCCCATGTCCATTCTGTGAGGGGGTACAGTGGACCCCATGTCCATTCTATGAGGGGGAATAGTGGACCCCATGTCCATTCTATGAGGGGGAATAGTGGACCCCATGTCCATTCTATGAGGGGTATAGTGGACCCCATGTCCATTCTATGAGGGGTATAGTGGACCCCATGTCCATTCTATGAGGGGGAATAGTGGACCCCATGTCCATTCTGTGAGGGGGATACAGTGGACCCCATGTCCATTCTGTGAGGGGGATACAGTGGACCCCATGTCCATTCTGTGAGGGGGATACAGTGGACCCCATACCAATCCAGTGGATGATAGTACAGTTGGTTTCCTACACGACTATCAATCGGGAATCCCGGGTTCGATCTGTAGGGGGGGAGAGAGATGGTTGAGCATATTTCTCTTCACCTAATGCCTCTGTTCACCTAGCAATAAATAGGTACCCGAGAGTTAGGCAACTGTTGTGGGGTTGCATCCTGGGGAGGGTCAGTAGTTCGAGCTTTGCGGGACCCTCGATATATACAAGCCTTGATACGAACCCACAGTATATATTCACAGGCTTCCTGACCCAGAAAAAACGAATTACTATTAGTATACCCATTCTGTGAGGGGTAGTGGACCCAATACCCATCCTGAGGGGTAGTGGACCCAATACCCATCCTGAGGGGTAGTGGACCCAATACCCACCCTGTGAGTGGTAGTTGACCCAATACCCACCCTGAGGGGTAGTGGACCCAATACCCACCCTGTGAGTGGTAGTTGACCCAATACCTTGTAACACCACTATAAAATAAGTACTAAACTAATAATGTAATGTAAAACTACTTCTTATCCTGAGTAACACTTCCTATCGGTTGCACTTGGTAACACTGTTATTGAACACTGTAATATGAGCTGACATATGATGGTTATACCGGAACCAAAAGATACACTTCCCAACAAGGAAATGCTACACAGGATTAAAAACGCTGCCTCCATCTGCCTTGACCATTGAGACTATATCAAGCAACGAGGCAAGAAACATTGCTTGACTTGGAGAGTACTTTCTATAACTGTCATTAATTATGGGACGGTTGTCAGCCAACTATATCCAAAAGGCTAAGAAGATTTAACAATTGACACAGACGGGAAATTTAACAAAAGTTTATTGAGAACAAATTATGCTAATCACCACTATAAATCCTACTCTAACACTGGCCAATAGTTAAGAAATTTAGACATGGAACAAAACCCTCAGAGGGTTTACCTTAAGACCTTAAGACCTCTGTCTCTCCATCCGGTGGATTCACTCTGTCTCTCCCTGGCTGTGAGATGTTCTTCACAGACCCACTCTCGACCCTGGCGTCCTGCCCTCTGTCCCTAAGTCTCTACAGGACCAATATATATACACCCCAAAAAAAAAGGGGGGAAGGGGGAGATTTACTGTTGCTACCTAGATCGAAAGAGAGTTCGGGCCACACATGCACAAACACTCAAGAATTTTCATTAAACTTGTTTGACATTCACCATACACTGTTCAAGAGAGGAATTATTAGTTACGTGTGTGACTGACCTTTGACCTGGCTAAAAGGGGGGAGATCGATGGATGTTTACACATAAGAATTTGGGCTCTAATTCCAATGCAATGTTTGACAAGAGTATCATGAAATATTACATACTTGAAACTAGCTGACTAAGACTAACCCAGGAATTTTTTAATCAACATACAAGATAATCCGGAGGTCATCTGGGCTGATCTCTTGGAGAAGGCTTCCCTAGGTGTGAACTCTAAGGGGGGGGGGGTCATGCGTGTTACAACCCACCCTGTGAGTGGTAGTGGCCCCAATACCCACCCTGTGAGTGGTAGTGGCCCCAATACCCACCCTGTGAGTGGTAGTGGCCCCAATACCCACCCTGTGAGTGGTAGTGGACCCAATACCCACCCTGTGAGTGGCAGTGGCCCCACGATTCAAAGCCCCCCCCCCTTCCCCCTGTGCAGCCACAATAATGAGAGATCTCTTTGACAGTGGACAATTATTCGATCTTCCGCAGGGAAGGCCTGGGAATCATATCCCTCTCAGATTACATCTATAATATAAATAATGTGTGCACAATTATCTGACGATAGTTCTGCATTTGTACAGACGGGTGGGGCCAGGGTCGGGGGCCCCCGTCTAGGGAGCCCCCCCCCCGTGTCGGGGCTGCACTAATCTGATAACAGAACATTGTGAAATATTATTTGAAGGTCACACCATGACGATGTGACGTCATGTATCATCACTCGCATCACAGCACTCCACCACATCATCCGGTGTGCACATGCCTAGTTGTGCACACGCCTAGTTGTGCACACGCCTAGTTGTGCACACGCCTAGTTGTGCACACGCCTAGTTGTGCACACGCCTAGTTGTGCACACGCCTAGTTGTGCACACACTAGGGCGTCATTTCCTGAGCCCTTTTTTTTATAATTAATTAACATAATTAATTCAAGGCGCGGTGGCCGAATGGTTAAGGCGATGGACTTAAAATCCATTGGGTTTCTAACCCTTGCGGGTTCGAATCCCGCCCGCGTCGTGTGTTTTCTTTCAAAATCACTTTAAAATCGCTTCGTAATTAGTGCTCCTATGTATTCTATTTGTGGTTGTTAGGGTTTGGGTTAGCAGTTAAGGTTAGGGTTAGCAGTTTAATATCAAATGTGAAATATGAAATTCGAAAACTTTGAGTATCCCCTAGAATTTGACATCAAATCTTTATTCGACGTGAAAGAAAACGATTTTGCCTGGGACTTATTTGTTAATCCATGGATTTATATTACCAATACAGTTATAACTTGGGAATATTTTCTGGTCAAGACAAAGGTTTACTTGCCAGTTTACAAGCAGACTTATTGGAATCATGATAGTTATCTAGTTGACTATCCGGGCGGCTTATGAGGAAGATTGACGTCTCAGCAGAATCACTTGAGGCAATGTCATATCTGAGAGAATGAGAGCACTGCCGGATGTGACGTCACCCCACTTGTAACACCACAGGAAGCAGAGTTACTGTGAGGGGTGAGACCTCAGAATGGCGTGAGTCATAAGCGGAGTCCCACAGGGTTCTGTACTGGGACCTATCCTGTTTCTGATATACGTGAATGATCTTCCAGAAGGTATAGACTCGTTGCTCTTAATGTTTGCTGATGATGCTAAAATTATGAGAATGGTTAAGACAGAGGACAGCATGAGGCTTCAAGAAGACCTGGACAAACTGAAGGAATGGTCTAACAAATGTGTTAGTTTAACCTGAGCAAATGTAATGTAATAAATATAGGTGTAGGGAGCATGAGGCCAGATACAAGGTTCCATTTGCAAAATGAATTCTTCAAGAATCAGGGAGAAAGACCTGGGAGTTGATATCACACCAGACCTGTACCCCGAACCCCATATCAAGAGGGTATTATCAGCGGCATATGCCAGGTTGGCCTATATTATCATTCATAACCTTGTGTACCACATATGTCAGACCAATCTTGGAGTATGCAGCACCAGCATGGAGTCCATATCTCGCCAAGTATAAGACTAAATTGGAGAAGGTTCAGAGGTTTGCCACCAGACTAGTTAGTACCCGAGCTGAGTGTTAGCTATGAGGAAAGACTACGGGACCTAAACCTCACGTCGCTGGAAAACAGAAATGTTAGGGGGGACATGATCACCACATAAAAGATTGGAAAAGACCACGTGTACTGTACCTTGTGTGAGCGCCTAAACTGATCTGCACTTTAAATCCACTGAAATATTGCTGTGTAAACGAATATATATATGTGTGTAATAACGATGGTACACGTTTATTACAGTATCCCATCACTATCCCACCCCTCCACATCCCCCCTTCACCCCCATATCACCCCTTACACCTCCCCCCCCCCCCCACACACACACACATCCTGCCTGGGACTCTACCTGTGTTCTTGCCGCCCACAGCCGGAGGAGTTCTGGGGTCGGCTCGCACGCTCGCGTCTGGAATGGCAGAAGGACTTCCAGGTGGTCACTGAACATGACATGGTCAATTCGGTCTTCAAGTGGTTCCCAGATGGTCAGCTTAATGTCTCAGGTGAGTCGGTGTGTCTAGAGTGAGTCAGTGTTGGTCTCAGGAGAGTCAGTTTGTCATGTGCCGTGTGGCTTGACTCACCTCACCTACTCACCTAGGTAATGTATACATATGTATACACACACCTCACCTAGGTACTCACCTAGTTGTGCTTGAGGGGATTGAGCTCTGCTCTTTCGGCCCGCCTCTCAACTGTCCATCAATGAACTGTTACTAACCACTATTTTTTTCACACACACACACATACACACACACACACACACACACACACACACACACACACACACACACACACACACACACACACACACACAGGAAGCAGCCCGTAACAGCTGTCTAACTCCCAGATATCTATTTACTGCTAGGTAACAAGAGCATCAGGGTGAAAGAAACTGCCCATTTTGTTTCTGCCATTACCGGGATCGAACCCGGACCCTTGGATTACGAGTAAAGAGCGCTGTCCACTCAGCTATCAGGCCCCTGTGCGTATGTGTGTGTGGTAAATATGGAGACAAGACGAGACTTGTTCAATCTGTTTCTCTGTTCCAGTAAACTGTGTTGACCGTCACGCCCGCTGCCACCCGGATCGGGTCGCCCTCTTGTGGGAGAAAGATGAACCAGGCCAGGAGGAGCGAGTCACCTACAGGTAGGGTACGCCCTCCAGTGTCAAGTGCTTGTGGGAGTTGGGTGCTTAGGGGGAGGGAAAGTCGGGTAATGTGGGAGGAAAAAGTCGGGTACAGGCGAGGTAGAAAAGTACGAACATGACTTTATACATGTACAGTACATGTCATATGTCACGTAGATATGTATACATTATCACAAAAATATGTACTGACCACTAGTATCCAGTATGATCCTCAGGTAATGGAAGCTCTCATTGATAATGGGACTGCGACACGGGTCCCATTGGAGGGCTTAGGTAATAATAGGTAATTCATACTAGGTGCTCCCTGTAGTTACGTTATCTCTACTTGCACAACCTCCCTCCCGTCTCCCAGTTACTAACGGCAGCCTCTTCGTCGCCGCCTCCACAGAGAGCTTCAGGAGCTGATGTGCCGGATGGGAAACGTGTTGCTAGACTGCGGGGTGAAGCAGGGAGATCGCGTGGCCCTGTATCTCCCGGTGTCGCCCATGGCCGTGGCCGCCATGCTGGCCTGCGCCAGGATAGGTGCTGTACACTCCGTCGTCTTCGCTGGCTTCTCCGCCGAAGCTCTCGCCTCCAGGATCCAGGACGGTAGGTGGCTAGTCGTACAAGTCGTACATAAGACCATGTGATAAAACTCGTTTTCCAAGTGTCAAAAATCGTATATATATATCGTTAGGTTAGGTTGTATTAGGCTAGGTTGTGTTAGGTTTCGTTAAGTTAGGCTAGCTTAGGGTAGGTTTTAAAATCCGGTGTTGAGTCGTCTTGTGTGTGGTGTGACTTGTATACAAGTTGTCTGCACTTACGTTGTGTAGCAATGTTTGGAAGAGCTGGTAGTATAGCCTGGTGACTGGTCGTTTTCCCTGTGTGGTCGTGAATATTAACAGTATCTCACTTCCACAAGATCTAACTCACTGAGATTAGGGAAAATTGTATTTACTTTCTTAATAAAGATGTTACAACACTGTTTCAAACAAAGGCGCCTCATATGACACTACACATTCTGCGTGGTTGTAAACCTGGCCCTAAGAACTTGCTCTCTCTCGACAGATAGAAATTTCAGAGATTTACCTCATTGCTCCAATTGATTTTATCATCATTATTATTTACACAGAGAAATCACACTAACGTGATATATATCAGTGAAAAAATCAACTGGAGCTCTGAGGTGAGGGTGAGAGAATCCCAGCCGCTGACGCTAACCACTAGACCATCCTGACTTGGTAAAAGTTATACAACTGGATTTCTACTTGAAATCTCAGGAAGTATGGAGGCCCCTATTGACCACTAATTCATGGTGATCCAGTGGTCAGCGTCAGTGTTTGGCCTTCTCTTGGTTGCGGGTTCGAGTTACATCGGCTCCAGTTTTCCTATTATTATTATTATTATTATTATTATTATTATTATTATTATTATTATTATAACACCGCAACCGTTGGGCAGCTGGGGCGGAGACGGTGATCACGATGGACCAGGCGGTGCGCGGCGGGAAACTGATCGAGCTGAAGCAGGTGGTGGATGCCGCAGTAGCCAAGTGTCCCTCCGTCAGGCAGGTGCTGGTGGGCAGGCGCACCGGCTCCCAGATCAAGATGGGACCCAAAGACATCTGCTTAGAACAGGTGTGTGGTGGCCTCACCTGCGCAGTAATCTTTGCTAACAGCGCAAAGGATTGTATTTGAAATACAGTATACTGAACCCGAATCTGTCCTGCAAAATGACAGCACATAGGACGATCTGTATCCTGTTTACGGTGAAATGTTCGTCTCTTGGCACTGTCGAAGTAAAGCAGTCTCCCTAAGCTCTGTTGCAGGGACATATTGTTCCCCTGCCATGTCACAGTGAAGTATCCTTCCTCTGTTCTATTTTATTTCCACAGTGCACGAGGACGATAGAATATGGTAGCTTGGTATGATGAATCTGTCAGTGCAACGACCCCTTAACCCCCCCCCCCCTTCCCTCCCTCACTCATCCCATCCTCATTATTCTCCCCCTCATCCAACCACTTTACTTTCCATGACGTTTGTGCCCTGTGTGTCCTAGAAGATCCAGCCCCCATCCTCCAGTCCTATACTACAAGTTAAATATTGACTTACGCAGATTGTAATTAGTCATTAGTAATTATTGCCAATTTAGCATTAATTACTTATTACTGCTGACGCAGTCAGCCAATTAGTAATTGGTCAATATATTGATTTAATGATGGGCTGGAAGAAGCTGTATAACCATTTGTTTGCTAATTGCACCTGCCTGTGCCCCAGGCCCTGAGCCATGCCTCCCCGGTGTGCCCCCCGGCCGTACAGAACGCGGAGGACCTATTGTTCCTGCTCTACACCTCCGGCAGCACGGGTTCCCCAAAGGGCGTAGCGCACACGACCGCCGGCTACCTCCTCTACGCCGCCACTACTCACAAGGTTAGCAGCTCGAGTCTATTACTCACAGTTCATGCAGCACAAAGCACTACCTTTTTCCTATAAAAATACAAGTAGGTAAAATAGAAATATACAATTGGGGGAAAAGACCCATTAACACGAAAGAGTATATCTGTACTGTATCTAAAACTTATAAATTGTTAATCCAAAACTAGTTTGGTGTTGGGCTTTTAGCTCTAACCACCTCTGGAGGGATATTAAGGAGACGCAGTTGCTCACTGGCCAACCAGCAAGTGTACTTCAGTCCTAAACATGGTCGACATCCAAAGTACATTCTCGGTGTATATACACCACCTCTCAGTGTATCTACCCTTGAGAGGCGAGGTACACCTTTCGGTGAATATATCCCTGCCTGCATTGCTTGCATTCTTCATATTAAACAAAATTTATCCTACAGCTGTAACAAGTATGGAGGTTACATACAAATTTAGCTCTACACATCACATTCTTCATGCGACTATATCGCATGAAGAATGGTGGCCAGAAATAAAATAATATAATTTTTTATTGTGGAGGGGGGAAGGCAATTGTTAAATGTTTTCTGATAAAATTATATTTGTTAATTTTGTGGCTGAAGTTGGCACTGAAGCCTGCTTTTGTCAGTGTGAAGTATTTACTAGCGTCACGCTAGCGTGAGGCTATTGACTGCAGCATGAGGCTATTGACTGAAGCGTAAGATTGTTTACTGCACCATATGATTGTTTTACAGTAGCGTGAGGTTGTTTACTGTAAACTGAGATTGTGTACTGTAGCGTGATTTTGTGTATTATAGCGAGATATTGTGATTGTATATTGTAACATGAGATTGAGTCATTACTGTAGCGCGAGAAAAAATTTTGTATTTTAATAGTACTTTTTTGTATTTCTAAGTGTTTGGCATTTATTTAGCAACCAACTTATTACTGTATCACAAAGGCTTCGTAATACAGTAATAAGGTTTTTCTGCCGAGGCATATCGTTATCAGCCTAGGTCATGTAGAAAGCTTTTTGACCGGTGTACAGAGTGATTCAAATTCAAATATGTTTATTGAGGTATAAATACCCACAAAGTGATGAGGTAGCTGGAGCTATTCTCACCCTGTTGATTGTCCCCCGTGCAGCATGTGTTCGACTACCGGGATGGCGACGTCTTCGGCTGCGTGGCGGATATCGGCTGGATCACGGGACACTCCTACGTGGTGTATGGTCCCCTTGCTAATGGCGCCACCAGCCTCCTCTACGAGAGCACGCCCACCTACCCTGATCCAGGTAGATAGCCATACCCATCGCTTATGACTGACTTTCCCAGACCTCTCACGTGGGATGTGTGATGCCACACTGTAAGACAACAAGCCCTTACCAAGCTCCCAGATTAGACGAAAATTTAACAAATAATCTGACATCCATCAGTATATATTTACGTGTTTTGATTACGTTTCCACATTTAGGTCTGACATGCAGTAAATAGTTACCCACCTGGAGTTAGGCAACTGACCCTCCACTGGGTCATTTGATCCTGGGGAGGGTCAGTAGTTCGACCTGGAGGGGGGGGGGGTAACCTCCATATATGCCTAAAGTATATATTCACAGGCTTCCTGTCCCAGACAAAACGAATTATTATAATAAGCAGATACTAGAGGACAAAGAAGAGTAGCCTCACATTGTCCACAGGTGACATTTGTACACTAAGAAGCTCCGTACTGGTAATACTCCCTCGAGAAAAAACATTTATCAGAGAGAGACAGAGCGCTAAGACTATAATGAATGACTATATAGCACTTGGAAGTGATACGAGGACACGGAAGATGTGAAGACTGGCTGAAGTAACGGCCTCTGAATATTCTCTTGTGATATTTTTTATTAAAATATTGAACAATTTGGAGAATATTGATCCAGACTTTAAATGGTAAGATGTAACACGAACAAGAAGCAAAGGTTTCAAGCTCAACAAACAACAATGCAGGACAGAATTTTTTTTAGTCTTCACCCAGAGGGTTATAAACCCCTGGAACAGCCTACCCGCCGAAGGCGAAAATCCCAAAACAGAGCTGAATATCAAAATTCAGATTGATAAAATCATCTAAACAAATGGGACCTTTGACATGCCGCCGGCTTCCTGTCCTCATCGAGGCCATTGGAGAGGTAGTAGCCCTCTCAGGTAATCCCAGGTAATTTTGACATTAGAATTCATACATTTTAAGCTCCAAAACATTTTCATCGTGAAACATCGCAATATTATAAATGCAATATTTCACATTTGTGGCAAAAGGATGAAAAAAATGCCTCAAAATCCTCAGATAAAGTTAGTTATGTCTTTACTGTGCTTCCCGCAGGTAGGTACTGGGAGACGGTGGCTCGACTTGGCCTCACGCACTTCTACTGCGCCCCGACTGCGCTCCGCCTCCTACTGCGCTACGGCGACGAGTGGGTACTGAACCACGACCGCTCCACCCTCAGGGTTCTTGGGTGTGTGGGCGAGCCCCTGAACAACGAGGCCTGGCACTGGTTCCACGGCGTGGTGGGCGGCAAGCGCTGCGATCTCACGGACACCTGGTGGCAGACTGGTGAGTGGTGGTGGCAGAGGTGGTGGTAGAGGTGGCAGCAGGCAGGTGGCACCTGCACCTGAAGGTAGCACCCCCTCCCTTCTGCACCAACAAGTAGCAGAAGGGAGGGCTGGCGGTGGCAGCAGTGTGAGAGAGTGGTCATCTATCAGCCAAACGTGCACACCCATAGTTGCATAATGCGATGCATTCTTGTGCATTATCAGAGATTATCGTTATTTCATCTCCTTGGGGGTTCCTGGATAGCAAAGCATATTTGCAACTCGGATAAAGCATGTGGTCAATTATACGATGTCTGATTATGCGGTGTATGGAGACAGCGTTATTCATCTTGTGTATAACAGGGGTGATCGCTGCCATTTTAAATGGTATGAGCCGAGACAGGTGGCAACTAGCGGCAGGTGGTCAGGTCATCCTGAACTCACTTGGGCTGGGAGAGGCGGCACCGCTGTACTCCCGGTGACCTCACGTGAACCTAGGGAAGGACCAATCAGGTGGTAGGCAAAGGTAGAAACTAAATTTTGATTGGTGTCTCTATATAGAGCCGTGTACTCCTCTTTCTCTTTTGCCCATGCCACCTCTTCGGTGGCTTAATCTTCATCAGTCAATCTCTCTCTCTCTCTCTCTCTCTCTCTCTCTCTCTCTCTCTCTCTCTCTCTCTCTCTCTCTCTCTCTCTCTCTCTCTCTCTCTCTCTCTCAACATAGGGTCATGTGGCAAGCAGTACTGAGTACAGTACGTTGTTGAGGTCATGGCGAGGGTAACTGTGGCTTAGTTCAGAAGCACGGGACTCCTCTTCCTCCATTCTTTTCTCCCTCCATTCTTCTCTTGAATTTTTTTTTGTTAATCCTCATGTAACAAACTAGGCTGTTGTAAGAATTATCCAGAGTGGTTTATCGACAAAAGAGAATGGGAAGCTGAGCTGGTGTGTTCCTTGATGGGGAGTGGTTAGTACACGGATGTGTACCTGATAGTTCCGTAGTACGCTCCCGGATGACTGAAAGTTCAGTCTGATGATATAACTTTAATGTTTGTGTGAGCACGGTGTGGCCGGCTCTAGAGGACACATGGACTTGGCTAGTGAAGAGCCAAGAGAGTTTAATAGCTAGTTTTTGATGGTAGAGTAGGGACATGTTATTTAGCTATGTCAGTAAGGATAGGATGTATGTTTCCTGATATTAGAGGATTGCTGTCAGTTGACAGCTGAGAAAAATTTGAACATGTTTATTATGATGGACTATTATTTGTCAAATTTTATTAGTTAGGTTAGCTTTTGTTTGTGGCATGAGTTGAATTGTGGGTTTGGATACTAAACCTCGTGAATTTTAACAAATTAACAAGGTTTACTAAGTGCTTGTGCGGGTGGGTTGTAACAAACTAGGCTGTTGTAAGAATTATCCAGAGTGGTTTATCGACAAAAGAGAATGGGAAGCTGAGCCGCATGGTGACCTGACCCCCAGGGGAATTCGCGGTGGAAATAACCGACGCTTTGTTCATATCTGCGTATAATGAATCATCCTATAGTATTCAGTAATTTAGAGAAAATTAGCCTTTATTCATTTTGCATTAAAATTGTATTGTATAATAGTACTGGATACAATATCAAGAGTATTCTAATTATTGAGTTTAAGTCACCATCAGTGACGTCACGAATCAGATCTAACTTTTGAGGCGGAGTGACCGGCGGTCATAGGTCATCAGGGGTTGACAGGTCTACTATTTCTCAAAGTTTTAATAACCATTTTTGTGATCGGGAACAGCTCTGCCGTTAGATGTTTGTAATTTAATTCAGTAAAATAATTCAACCAGTCTGGATCAATTAAGTACAATAGAGTTTAATTGTTATAACTTAAACCTTGCTAGTAACTGGGTAGAACTTTGACTAGGCGCAAGGATACAATGTTCTGTCTGGGGGAGACGAGACAAGGGAAAAATCAGTGGGGTCACGGAAGCAGCTGGGAGAGGTCAAACATCTTACCTCTCCCCAAGACCAACCAAGACAACTAGCTGTGGTCGCCCAAGGTATAGTTGCTATTGTTAAGTATAGAAATAGTCTCATTTGCCACTCAGGTCAAGTAGGGAGTGTTAAATTGATAGGGAGTGAACATATTTAGATTTTGTTTTAGTTTTCTTTTAATAAATTAAATTTGTTATTAATTTGCATTTTATTGTTTCCATGTGTTTTATGTGTATACTTGTCCTGGTCACGTGGTCCACACGAGGCAGAGTTGCATTGTGCGCCGATTCTAACATCGAATCGGAATTATCATTACCGTGTAATTTATTCCACACTCAAGGTCATCGTTTATAGTGGGGATCAAGCCCCTAGGTTGATTAATTAGCGTGATCGATCCAGACCTCGATCATTGCTCTTGTATTACTGGTCTGGTGGTGGCAGCAGAGGTGACTCTAGGGTTTTGTTCAGAGCTTAGGTCACGTCATACTGGGTGTAGAATCCTAAGTCGGTCAATCGTCTTAGGACCACGTGGCGTGGAGTTGGCTTTGTTAAAAGTTTTGGGGTCCCTTGGTTTAGAAATAATAAGTAAGAATACGGGTAGAGGGAGTAGAAAGAAGGAAGTAAAGAGAGAGGAACCCGAACCCGTGTTACACTCATAATTTTGTGTACAAGAACACATAGAAGGAAACACTCGGCAGAACTATATCACAGCAGGATACAACGAAGTGCTCACTTTGAGGTTACTCCCCAGCAACCTCAACGCCTTCTCTTAAGATATTTATTGTGCCTTCGACCTCCCCCCCCCTACCCCCTAAAAAAATTATATCATTTGAAAATTATATCATTTGACATTTTTACTTTCAACAGAGACTGGAGGGGTGATGATCAGCCCACGGCCGTCTGCCCCTGGTGCCCCAATCAACGCCGGGATGCCCATGCGGCCTATGTTTGGGGTACAGCCGGTGCTGTGCAGCGCTTCAGGGCAGGTGGTGGAGGGTCGAGACGTAGATGGAGCTCTGTGTATAGGGTCCATCTGGCCAGGCATTTCTCGCACCGTCTACGGCGACCACAAGCGTTACGTTGACACCTACTTCGCCCCCTTCCCCGGATACTACTTCAGCGGCGACGGCGCCCACAGGTAAGGTGCTGTGGGCGCCATTCCTCATCTCGGGAAGATGAGGAATGAATGTGCTTTAATATACACTGGCTTGGTTAGATAGGCTTTAATATGCACTTACTGCAATTTGTAATTCACATCTTGATCTTCAACCAGGGTTAGTGTTATAGAACACTTTACGCTGAAACAGTTTAATATTTAATTATGGCTAAGTGTGTAGCTCTTTTATATGACTTTGTGGTGAAATTACAGGGACGAGGAAGGTTTCTACCACATAACTGGTCGCATGGACGATGTCATCAACGTGACGGGACACCGCTTGGGCACCGCTGAGGTTGAGGACGCCATGGTGATCAAACTCTGCTTTTCTTGTTCCACTTTTACCCTTGATGGTCTTAACTCTAAAGTTGGCGTTATTGGATGAAGTGCTGAAATAAGTTATAAAGAATTTTAAAATATTTTTGTACAGATGCTTCACATCTATAATCCTTTTTATATAGACAAAAGTTATTTTTCTAAGACTGTAATAAGCCTGTCTTCAGTTGCATCATTTCCTGAAGGATCTAAATGCATTAATATAAAGAGTCCAGATGGAATCTTACTGCGGGTTAATGACATAAACATAAGTGTATGTGGCCACGGTATACCAGGCTTGGGGATGTTTCGTGACACTTTTTCACTCAAGATAACACAGCTCTCTCATGCATCATTACTACTACTGTAACTTGTCTTGCAATTTCACTTGTATAACTTCATCAACTCATCATTAGGAAATGAAAGCCGATATAAAAAATAATATGATTATTATATATAATAATATATATAATGGAACAGGACGGGGATCAAACCAGCATCCTGGTTTACCCCCACAGGTGCATCTTAACCATTGGACCATGATATGCTAAAGATCTTCTCATACGTATATCACCTTATTGTGAGTTCATTGTGTATTTTAAAGGAACATTTGGCGGAGAACGCCATTACCTACACCAGAGTCCATGCGGGTTATATGTAACAAAAAATTTAATTTGGTACCTGCTCTGTGCCTCTTCCTAGTGGGTTCGGGGGGACTCCGGCTGTGGTTAAGGCGCGCCTCTTGCCTGATCTAGGATGCTGGATTCATCCTGCTCCCAAAAATTAACATAATAAATGTTACTTAAATAAAATACAATTCAAACAAGATACATTGGAGCGTTCGTAGGTAAACAATTTAAATTAGACGAGCTCAAGCCTACCAGACTAGGTTTAGAGCCCACCTTTGATACATATACCATCTTGGGCCTGGCCAGACAGCACATACGGACGTGTCGGAGACGGCGGTGGTTGGCTTCCCTCATCCCGTGAAAGGCGAGGCTGTGTTTGCCTTCATCGTCCTCAAGGAGGAGCTGGAGTCAACCCAGGAGAATATTATTTCAGAATTAAAGAAGCTTGTGCGATCACAGATTGCTGGATATGCTGTACCTGACGATATCCTGGTGAGTTTACTTAGTCCGCTTGCGTGACGTTCACTCTAGGCTAATATCTCACAGTTTGACATTCACAGTAGGCTATATTCCCCCTGTATGGCTGACATTCATAGTAGGCTATATACTCCTGCATATCTGACATTCACAGTAGGCTATATACCCCTGCATGTCTGACATTCACAGTAAGCTATATTCCCCTGCATGACCGACATTCACAGTGGGCTACAGATCACACAAGTTTGATATTAAGTACGTCATTATTCACTATATAATTACATAATCAAATAGTCTGTTTCAGCTGACTTGTTGATTCCCAAGAATTTTGTATCAGTCAAAAGAAAGAGCAAAATTCTCCACTAACATGAGACTGGAGAGACTATTTGTGGATAACAAATCTCCTCTAAGAATTTATGAACTCTTAACATAGATGCAGAAGTCTTGTGATTATGAATGGAAGAAACGTGGGATGGGGTGAGGTGGTGATCAGAAATATGAGGAGTATTATATTTCTTTAAAGACGTATTTCGTTTTGGCTTAGGTTCCATGTATCATGAATTTAACTACGTCATAAGATAAACACTTAAAAATTAAGGAAACTGTTGTCGAAGGCCCATTGGCTCATACGAGGCAGCTCGTACTTATATCCACCAAAACTCATCTATCTAATATATGTCTAACTCTAAATAACCCATCAATCCCACGGCTATTACCAGGTAATTTGTTTCATAAATCATAAACAGTATATATAAGCTACGTGTGTTAATCAAATTTGCACCAATAATCAGGAATCTCTGTTTTGTTTTTATGGCAGGTGTGTCCTGGGCTGCCCAAGACTCGCTCAGGTAAGATCATGAGGAGGATACTGAGACAGGTGGCTGCTGGCAAGTCGGATGACCTGGGCGACATCTCCACCCTGGCTGACCCTTCCATCGTCCAAACCATCATTGACATGTACAACACCCAACACACCCGCTCACAGGTCCATGGACACGCTCGCGAATAGAACATTTTTACGAATCTTTGTACTTCCATAAGCAATTTCAAATGTTTGTCACTAAATTTGTCTAGTAACATACATGTGGATGTTGGTTGCTTCTGTGATTTGTTTTGTTCGTGGAGTGCCACTTTCCCCAGATAACATTCCATGGTGTTTACTTGTTAATAGGCCAAACCTATAGATCTATCACGAAACTACTGTATAGGTATATCACAAAAATTGTGTACATGTATAAAAATCATTTGAAGCCAGATGTATTTAGCTGAAAAAAAAAATCATCAACTGTATAGTGTACCTTAAAGAGGATAACATTTTCCTTGAAGCTTGTCTATGACAAAGAAAATGTAATGTCGCTGCAGTGTAGGAGACACAAACATATTATAATACTAAATTACTATACAGTATTAAGACACTGCACTTCCATAGTGTTTGAAGGAAAGACCTATTGCACGTGTAAGTGTAATATTAAGCTATATTTTAGGTTTTAGGAGTTTTATTCGAAAATTTGGTTTAATATTGACACGACGCATGTATTGGGTCGTTCACCTACACTATATTTTTCATAAAATATACAAAGGTACATGTTACAGTGGTTACTTAGTAGATTTAGTAATTTTATATTGTACAAAGCCACAAGTTACGGACAGCATTTTGGGCAGAGTCTCGTGTCCGGAGCTGAATTTCACCAAATTGTTCTTATTGGCTAATGACATATTGTCCAAACGTTTCTCTATCATTGCACAAAGTCAAACATGGCGCAAAGTTTTATTACACAAAATTAATATATGTCACCACTACTTATATAACACTAATAAGTACAAGCGTTTCTTATTAGTGTTCTCAGGAAGTGTTACAGCCAGCGTCGAATATATATATAGCTTACTGTATATATTCGATACATATAGCTATATAGCTTCGATGTATATAGCTTATTGTACTCATCTGAATGAGCTTATATGCGTGTGCTTGCAAGGTGAGCTTCAGCTTCTTTCTGTACTTATCTCTGCTTTCGAATGCAGTTCGCCTATTACAATGGCTTCTGCCTATTTCAAGATCCAAATAGATAAAATCTCGAGAGCAAATGGGGGAACCATTGACAAGCTGCAGGCTCCCTGTTCCCGTCCAGACCACTAGAGATATCGTGGCCTTTTGGTAAATAAATTATCAACCCCTTGGAGCTATATAAAGAATTTGCCTCGACTAACTTCCCTTTTCAGTTCATTCCACTTGTTTCCCTATCTTAGACTGAAAAATAAAGAATGCCTTCTCACATCCCTAAATGTATATGGGTCGTTGTTGTTGTTAAAGATTCGCTACCTGAAACAAAAAGTTTCAAGTAGCACGGGCTATGGTGAGCCCGCTTGAATATGGGTCATTTGGGTTCCACCCGGTGGTTACTTTTGTTTTAAAGTTTATTCAGGACTAAATGATTATTTGCAGGTTGGTCAGTAGCCAAATTGTAGCACGAATAAATTGTTCAGTTGATAGATCTGAATGCAGACGAGGAGTTATAATAACGTGGCTGAAATATGTTGACCAAACCATACACTAGAAAGTAAAGGGACGACGACGTTTCGGTCGTCCTGGACCATTCTCAAGTCGATTGAGAATGGTTCAGGACGGACCGAAACGTCGTCGTCCCTTCACTTTCTAGTGTGTGGGTTGGTCAACATAGATCTGAAGCCCAACACATAACTATACTTGTTGTGAGTTACACAACTTACCAAGTGGCTTGTAGGGTGTCCACACGGAACTCCATGTTTTTTAAGTGATGTCAATTTTAACGATGTCTGCAAGATACTATCACTATGTCAGGTATGTTGCGTCCTGGGGCAGAGTGCTTCCGCTTAATTTACATAACCTCCGAAATATGACCGCGAGTCAAGGCTTGAAATATGCAGGAATGGAATTACTAGGCTTCAAATGTCGTAGCTATCCTTTCACTGTGGTTCTTAAGCTCTTCGTTTTAAAAATGTGTGCCCTAGGAGCATACGGGTTTATAAATCTTATAAACGATTTTATAAATCTTGTAAACAATTTATAAATCATATATTTTTGAAACGATTTTTATGATTTACGAAATAATATGATAATTTGCAGTTAGTATTATTTGGTGACAGCTTAAAATAACAAATTTTACATTCAAAAACAGATGTTGAGGCTTTTAGTAGTGGTTTGAGGCATTTTGGCATTCAAAATGCGCAATAATATGTAGCCATAGCTCTCTGATGGCCTAGAGACGTACGCATGCAGTATTCACTTGTTAACATTATTACCAACACTATTAGAAACATAAACATCAACTAGTTAATAGCGTATTTAACAAACATAAGTACAAACACTAGCGCTACAGTGTCCAGCAGACAGTCGTAGAATAGATTTTTAGAATGATCCATTTTTGTCCTTTTATCAATGTTCCTTTGAGTCGTGTGTCCACTGAATACTTACTTCCTTATTGTTCACGCACCTCAGTTCCCCCACTGTGGGCACCTCACAGGAGGTCCCCCACTGTGGGCACCTCACAGGAGGCGCGCGCCATTTCCCACACAGGTAGTTGGGCGAAATTCGAAATTTTGAGTTCGAAAAATAAAACAAATACCGTTTTCGTTAGCTGTAAATATTATTTGGCTTCTTATGATGTACTATAATATTTAATATAAATCAAAACAGATATTTCACACGTGTTTCATATCCTAAAAAAAAATGTAGGGAAATTACCCTATATACCGAGGAAGCACAGCTGAGCCCTGTACGGCAATCACCAGGTCAGTGCGAGTGTTGTTGTGTAGGCGGGAGCACCGGCTCCGGCGATCACCATTCTCTCCAGACTAACTACCAGATGACTACTTAACACCTGCCCCTCAATATCCGGTTGGACTGAGGTATGTATTTTGTTTATATATCAGAATGTGAATGACAAGTTAAAACGCATCGTAAGCAAATAATTGGCCTGTTCTATCCACGTCGGTCCAGTACTGAACTGCATTCCAGTATTTCTTTCCCATATGCCGCCTTTTGGGGCACATTTAATATGGATGACATAAAGGGCTACGACAGCACAGGTAAATGACATCATACAGAACGTTATGTCATCTTTCTATGTTCGTGTAGACATAATCACCACAGTCGTCTAACTACTCGAGCCAATACGTTACAGTATCTACAACCCATCTTGCTATTTAGATAATATCTATTGTGATGATCGTCAATAGTCACGAATTCGAACGTACTTAGTTTTTATATAGTATTCTGACTAGTAAGGAACTCTTAAAAAAAAGAAGCTAAAAAACAAACAAATATTCCCAGGCCAAGTATAACACACGTGTATTAGGCCTCAGATATCGTGCATTAGGCCTAGGAAAATTAGTTTGTCTTTGCAACACGAGTAAAAAAATAGTTTTCCGGTTTGTCCAGTTCAATAGTTCAGATTTCTACTTTCCAATTTCGTTGTTCGTCAGTATATATATACTATGGTCCTCATCGTTACTATAAGTACTACCAAAACAGGAGGATGGGTTGCATATCAAAACAGTGTCAACTACTGTGAGCTTCATCTATACATACTTTCTGCCGCATACATCGTTTCTGATCCAGCTATGGCCACAGTCTTTCCTCGGCTAAGTTCGTTCAAGCGCCGGCCAACCCTAAACACATTAATTTTCTTAGTGCTGATTTAGTTATATAAGTTGGGCTTTTGTACGACAAGCTTCCAAAAAATTTACTGGGTAGCAAAACTTGAATCCAATATGATGACCAAACCTCACACCAAAAGATTATACGACGACGTTTCGGTTCGTCCTGGACCATTATCTAGTCTGAAAATATTTATTATTAAATCTCAATAGAATGAGTATTTGTAAGCTCTTCATATATGAACTCGGCTAACAATTCGAAGTGCGTTTAGATGCATAGATGGAAAACAGATTGTTTAACTATTTATCTATGCCCAGAGAAATAATGAACGTATGATAAATGGTTTTTAGGCTTTATGTAAACGCCAATAAAATAAAAATTGCCTCCATGAATTAGGATATCCAAAAAGGCAGACATTTATCAATTAAAGTATATAGTAAATTTTAACAAGGTGATTTTATAATTTAGTTTACCTAAAAATTCATCCCAATTTAAATTTGAATGCGATATCCACAAAATATCAACATGCCTAAACCATGGAATAATTCCGGGGTAATTTTACAAGTCATTTTCTTTAAACAAAAATCCATATACAAATTTGAAAGCAGTGGAGAGTGTCGATTTTCCATTGCCATTCCAGATAGTCTGTAGATAATGGTCATTATTTAAAGTATATTTTATTTGTTTATGCATAGTTTTACAAGACTGACACAGTAATGTCAGACAGGTAATTCATGGTTCATTAATTCACGATTTAGGTAACAAAGAATGTCATGAACACGAACGTCAGTAAATATAAACATGAAATCATATAAACATTTGGCAAATACAAATAATTGCCAGCTAACCCTAGACACCTAACCTAGGCCTAGCTATGCACAAAATTATAATATATAATAATAATATAATATTTGAGAAAATAACTATTTTGAATATGCCGTACTATAAAATTGAGGAAAGTATCTTTGAGGGTTAGGCTGCCGAATGATCCAGGCATGCGTGAGGAAGAGTTCTGCAGGTATTCCTGCCATAAACATATGGTTTGGCAGCTGTCAACAAGCATTTTGACAGTGTTTATGAAGCAGAGCTGCGTCCAGAAAATTTATTTGCTCTTTATGCAGCCCGTACTCCTAAGGTTTCCCAGCGTCAAGAAACTGTCGTACTAAAGTGCCATTATCCTAACCTACCAGAGAACCCAAAATAGAAAACAGGACAGTATGTCAATTTCGCGAGCCGCTACAAATTTCTAGTATAATTTTTGGTCTTAGGTAGAGTATACATCAAAATGTGACGTTCTATTAGGAGAACGGGTTGCAGCACGGGGGAGGAGTGGCGGCAGTGGTGTTGCAAGCGTCGCTCAGACAAGTGTTGCAACGAGATTAAGAAACTTTGACAAGAGTGGAACAATAAGTTGAAATATTCTCGGATTCTACACACACCTTCCGCTTTTCCTCCTCGGCTGTGACAGAGACGGAAATAAACTACATCGGAAAGTTTTGAACTTCACCCCAACAAAACTTCCATGCGTCGTGAAAGCTTTTGTGCGCATGGTTCTCTGGTCGCTGCAAGGTGAGAGATGAACTCCATTCTGTGTATTTGATTATCTGGTTTATGAAACAATACAAGAAATTACAATATTCTCCTAGGTCATCAACTAACCTCCCCAGGATGCAACCCACAACGGTTGCATAACTCCTGTTTACCTATTTACTGTTAGGTGAACAGGGATATCAGGCGAAAGGCAACGTGCCCATTCGTCTTTGTCTTCTCGCGGGAATGGAACCCGGGGCCTTTATTGTAGCGACTCGACTGCCCCTCACCACTGCTTCTATATAATCCTGCATTCAGGTTCTAGCAATTTGAATTTTACTACGTAAAAAAAAGCAGTGGTTTAACCATACATGTTGCAACCCATCGAGACCGATTCTCCGAAAACGTCAAAATTAGGGTGCTTTGATTTTTTTACTAAAACGCCGCAATTTTCACGGTTTAGTCTGTTGTGTTTAAAATGCGACGTATTAGTAGAGAGTACGGTTGTTGTTGACCCTGGGAAGTGGCGTTGTTTACTTCCTGAGTAGAAACTTGGCACATGGTCTAAGAGCAAGAATGACCATTTGTGCAACTTTCCTATATGAACTATTTCTATCTAACTTCTATATGAATGTATACATACCAGTATATAATGTTAGCGATACATACTGATATATGTACATATCAGTATGTAGCGATACATACCGATATGTATGCATATCGGTATATAATGTTAACTAATGTATATATATTTTACCAGTAAAGTTAACTGTAATAATGGCCCGAGCAGCGCTCTGGATAATTTAACCTGAATTTACCCGGGGGGCCACCTTCTCTAGTGGCCTACCGAGACGGGGACAAGAAGCCGGTAGATTGTTAAAGACCCTCATTGTTCTGAGGATTATTTCCAGCTGAATTTTAAAATGAAATATTCGGCGGGTAGGCTGTTCCATGGGTTTATGTGCGTTACACCTTCGTTCTATACGATTAAGACCGTGACTTTTGGCTGTGTCTTTTTAAATTTAGAAATTACGTTAAGAATAAAATCCAAATATACAGACGAAATCTAAAAGAAATAGAATAGTTCAGCATAAACGTTATTCAAAGAAAATGAATATTATACTTTTCGCTAACTAATGTAAATATATAATGGCTACTTTTATTAATTGTTTCTTCTTTTTCTCGGGGCCAGGTAGCCTGTGTACATTTGTACGTTAGGCTTCTCTATAACCACATTTTTATCAACTATAACCAAATCTAACCTGGCCTGACCTCGCCTAACCATATCTGTTATGTTGCATTAGAAGATGAATGCTTCCATTAAATGTCGTAATTGGCGCTGGTTGACCTGACCACCAACCAGGAGGCCAGGCCAGAGACCGGGCCGCGGTGACATTGATTTCCCGGTCGACCAACCGGGTTTTGCATGCCAACCTGTCCTCCTACTAAGAACGTCGCAGTTCGCTCGTATGCGTTACATAAGACCAAAAAATGTCGTAATAGAAAATGGAAGCGGCTGGCGAAAGTGACGTACTGTTCCGTTTCTGTTTTGGGTCCTCTGGTAGGGTGGAGGAGGACACTTTACATTGACTGTTTTCTTGACGTTGGAAAACCTTAGAGAACGAATTAGATGTTCACCGATGACATTTATTGTTGTACAAAACCTTGAGGCGTGCATCTAGCAGAATTGCACAGATGTTACACTGGTACACTAAATCTTATTATATCTTTGACTGGGGGAAGGGGATAACCTGAAATTATTTGCTTGCCTCAAATATCAGACGAGTGTTTCACTGGTATTATTAATGTCGTGCTGCGGGCCTTGTGTTGCCTAGAGGCGGCCACGACTGGCACCAGGAGTCGACGGCAATTGCACTGGTTGTAAAGTAATTAGCGGATTGTGTGCTAATGTGAACTGCTGCTCTAAATCTGTAAACAAAAGTCAGAAGTCTTTTGCTCCTGTATCGACGTGTGTTCAAAAAACGCAACTTAGTGCTAGGAACAACAGGCAAGATATAATGTTCCATACGTTGAAAATCTTCCCAAAGAACAGAAAAAGGCCCCGGTGCAGGCCATCACACCAAACCTGTCTTCACAGTCCCACATCAACAGGAGAACATTTCTGGCATATGCGGCGCCAAAGTTTATATCTCGGTTAACACAAAGAGCTGATGATGGTACCAGTCTGGGGGCATACCACTGAACTATGTCGGGGTACAGCGGTATGGTGCGCGACTGGGGATACCTAAATCGTTGGTTCGAGTTACCTCCTTGCTCTAATTAATTTCAACTGTATAACTGATAAATGTGTAATGTAAACAATATAATTATAGAGAAATGTGTATTAACAGACAGCAAGGAAGCAAGAAGGCAAACATAAAAATATGCAGTTTTACATATGCATATGTAAAACATGTGCATATGTTGTATTAGAAGATGAATGCTGCTATTAAATGTCGTAGTTGGTGCTGGATGGCCAGACCAACATTCACTAAAACTTATTACATCTTCGACTGGGAGGAGGGGGATAACCTGAATTTATTCGCTTGCCTCAAATATGAAGCGAGTGTTTCAACCACTTGGCTCATATTTGTTTCACTGATATGTGTTTATCACTTGACTGATTGTTGAAACCACTACTTGAATACCACCACGTGGTTAGTATTCAACCATGTTTATTGTTGATACCAACATTCAACCATAAAGATGTTGTTATTGAATTAGACTTTGTGTGTGTGTGTATATATATATATTCACCTAGTTGTGCTTGCGCAGATTGAGCTCTGCTTCTTCGACCCGCCTCTCAACTGTCAATCATTCAACTGTTACTAACTACCAACAATTTTTTTTTCCACACACGAATATCCCCAGGAAGCAGCCCGCAACAGGTGTCTAACTCCCAGGTACCTATTTACTGCTAGGTAACAGGGGCACCAGGGGTGAAAGAAACTGCCCATTTTGTTTCTGCCATCACCGGGGCTCGAACCCGGACCCTAGGACTACGAATCCAGAGCGCTGTCCACTCACCTATCAGGCCCCATCCGTGTGTGTGTGTAGGCGGAACCCCTAAACTGTAAACACGAACTTGGGCGGGGCAGGAGAGTGTGTTGTGACGCGACCTAGCTTGATGGCTGTGTCGTTTCACGAGTCACGACACCAGCGACAGACGTCAGACGAGTGTATCAACAGAGGCCACCAGCCACGTCTGTTGATTGACAGTTGAGAGGCGGGACCAAAGAGCCAGAGCTCAACCCCCGCAAGCACAACTAGGTGAGTACGTCACGCTAAAACTCATGCACTTGTCTCCACAAACAGATGCTCCGAGTTTCTCAGTTGTTTTCCTCTTTGATTTTTTTCCTGTTATCGACCTAGTGCCAGACTTACTGCTGACCTAGTGCCAGACTTACTGCTGACCTAGTGCCAGACTTACTGCTGACCTAGTGCCAGACTTACTGCTGACCTAGTGCCAGACTTACTGCTGACCTAGTGCCAGGCTTGTTGCTGACCTAGTGCCAGGCTTGTTGCTGACCTAGTGCCAGACTTGTTGCTGACCTAGTGCCAGGCTTGTTGCTGACCTAGTGCCAGGCATGTTGCCGACCTGGTGCCAGGCTTGTTGCTGACCTAGTGCCAGGCTTGTTGCTGACCTAGTGCCAGACTTGTTGCTGACCTAGTGCCAGGCTTGTTGCTGACCTAGTGCCAGGCTTGTTGCTGACCTGGTGCCAGGCTTGTTGCTGACCTGGTGCCAGGCTTGTTGCTGACCTGGTGCCAGGCTTGTTGCTGACCTGGTGCCAGACTTGTTGCTGACCTAGTGCCAGGCTTGTTGCTGACCTAGTGCCAGACTTGTTGCTGACCTAGTGCCAGGCTTGTTGCTGACCTAGTGCCAGGCTTGTTGCTGACCTAGTGCCAGGCTTGTTGCTGACCTGGTGCCAGACTTGTTGCTGACCTAGTGCCAGGCTTGTTGCTGACCTAGTGCCAGGCTTGTTGCTGACCTGGTGCCAGGCTTGTTGCTGACCTGGTGCCAGACTTGTTGCTGACCTGGTGCCAGACTTGTTGCTGACCTGGTGCCAGGCTTGTTGCTGACCTGGTGCCAGGCTTGTTGCTGACCTGGTGCCAGACTTGTTGCTGACCTGGTGCCAGACTTGTTGCTGACCTGGTGCCAGACTTGTTGCTGACCTGGTGCCAGGCTTACTGCTGACCTAGTGCCAGACTTACTGCTGACCTAGTGCCAGGCTTGTTGCTGACCTAGTGCCAGACTTGTTGCTGACCTAGTGCCAGGCTTGTTGCTGACCTAGTGCCAGGCTTACTGCTGACCTAGTGCCAGACTTGTTGCTGACCTAGTGCCAGGCTTGTTGCTGACCTAGTGCCAGACTTGTTGCTGACCTGGTGCCAGACTTGTTGCTGACCTGGTGCCAGGCTTACTGCTGACCTAGTGCCAGACTTACTGCTGACCTAGTGCCAGGCTTGTTGCTGACCTAGTGCCAGACTTGTTGCTGACCTAGTGCCAGGCTTACTGCTGACCTAGTGCCAGACTTGTTGCTGACCTAGTGCCAGGCTTGTTGCTGACCTAGTGCCAGACTTGTTGCTGACCTAGTGCCAGACTTGTTGCTGACCTAGTGCCAGACTTGTTGCTGACCTAGTGCCAGGCTTGTTGCTGACCTAGTGCCAGGCTTGTTGCTGACCTAGTGCCAGACTTGTTGCTGACCTAGTGCCAGACTTGTTGCTGACCTAGTGCCAGACTTGTTGCTGACCTAGTGCCAGACTTACTGCTGACCTAGTGCCAGACTTACTGCTGACCTAGTGCCAGGCTTACTGCTGACCTAGTGCCAGACTTGTTGCTGACCTAGTGCCAGACTTGTTGCTGACCTAGTGCCAGACTTGTTGCTGACCTAGTGCCAGACTTGTTGCTGACCTAGTGCCAGGCTTGTTGCTGACCTAGTGCCAGGCTTGTTGCTGACCTAGTGCCAGGCTTGTTGCTGACCTAGTGCCAGACTTGTTGCTGACCTAGTACCAGACTTGTTGCTGACCTAGTGCCAGACTTG